CCTACAAACCTGATTTGGAAAAATATTTAAAATAAAAAAGTACTACCCTACGACACATTTGAAGCATACACTGGGGACTAACATTTTATTCACAACTGGGATTTTTTAGAAGATCCCACATTAACTGCCGGTTTCACGAAAGCAATTTAAGTGAAAATTAATTTTTTTTCTATCGGTTTCCATATTAAATTCAAATAAAGTAACCATTTTTCATTTACAGCCGGTTTCACTAGCAATTGAAATGGAAATGGTTTTTTATTCTCCATATAAAATTTTAAAAATTAAAGTGATTTTCCACTTAAATTGCTTTCGTGAAATTGGCTTTTAAATTTGTTTCGTGACACTGGCTATAAGAGTTTAAAGAAATGGTTTTCATAGAAATCGAGGTAAATAAATAATATCGAGAAAAAGAGTTTAACATAAAGTAGCTTTTTATAAAATTTCCATTTACGATTCAAAACCAAAAAACAACAAAAAAAAAACCTAACCGCTTTAACAAAGGTGGCAAAGGCTTAGATAATGAATGCCCTCTAAACTTAAAACAGAGAAGATAAAGTGTTCGTATTATAAACAATTTTACAAGATGATAGAAGCAAAAGTGTGTAAATTAAATCGCCGACTGTGAAGAACAAATAATTGTCCAACAAACTGATAACGAATGAAAAATATGTGCCAGAGCTTAAGACGTTTAATTACATAGCCTTTATGTATATAGATTAGAATAATTGCATATTTGCCAACTCAAGTATTAAATTGCATTATGCAAACCGTGAAACAAATTTTATTAAGTGCAAATACTTGAGATGAAAGCATGGAAGATTGCGCAAGTAAGTCTTCCAACTCACAAATAGTCAAATCACTTAAGCTCATCTCAAATTTTTAAATCAGCATAGGTGTGTATATATGTATGTATGTATATGTGTATACCCTGCAGGGAAACCGCGGACTAGTGAATCAAATTTCTAGTTCCGTACTAGGTCTTTATCGCCAAAAAGTCCAAATCGGCGAAAAGTGGTACTTTTAAAAAACTAATTTTTTCAGTTCTTTTCACTAGAAATCTATATCTAAAGTGACGAATTTAGAAATGGTTCGGAACTATAGAAAAAGGGATGCAGAACGAACTAGATCTTGTTTGTCGAATTTAGAACTAGTACGGAACTATCGAATAAGGGATGCAGCGGGGGGCTTGTTTACTATACATAGATATGTGTTCGGCGGCTTTTTCGTTCGAATACGCTTCTATTATTATTATTATTCTTCATAGCCTGGTAATACAAAACTAAAATTTATGTTAACATTTCAACATCTTGGGACCGTCTGGAATCTAAGAAATAACAGCGAGTGAAAACACATTTCTTCCAAAATAACTTAAAATCGCACACACAGAAGAACCAAAAAGATTGAAAAATCATGATACTTTTTTCTTTCGTCTGTCGATTTTAGAACTGGTCCGGAACTATAGAATTTAGTACTAGCTCGGATCTATCGAATAAGGGATGCAGCGGGGGGCAATTGACACTTCCTAGGACATCGCCATGTTAAATTCGCCAGTTGCTTGCATGCAAAAGAGATTTAACGCGAACCAGTACTGGGTCTAAATATACTAGAAGCACACCAGTTGAGAACTAGAGATTCTCCCCACAGGGTACGTTTGTAAATACTCGTAGAATGAAAAAGAGTATAGAGAAGCAGCGGCACTAATATTGCCAGTAAGAAAAAGGCAACAAATATTCTTTAAAAATGCGCAAGTGATAGTTAACTATGTTTACAAAGATTTTCTATTTATTTACTATGCACTGACGCATGTAAGCAATTACATATTGCAATTTACACTGAAAAAGTGGCCTCGATTCCCTCTAACGAACCGATAAAAAAAACTCAAAATGCACGTATTTAGATTATAGATGCATCCACTTTTGTGTAAGTATGTACGTATCCTCACAAATTTGTTCACTAATTGTCTTGAAAACTTTATATACATAGGTGCATTCAAACGTACAAATGTATGTACTAAATACATATAACTACTTAAGTATACAAAGCATACTTGTAAAACTAGAATTTTGTAGCCAGCTGCGTTATCATTCCCAATCAGGCCTTCTTATCAGCGCTCAGCACCCAGCGAAATTGGCATTAAAAATATTTGACGATAATTGTCCAGTTCTTCTATGTGCACTATACACTGGGGGCCATATAATAAGGGACACTACTTTTTTATAAGTTTTGACAATTTATTTTTAGTTTTAATTTTTACGAAATATACAACGAAAACCAGTCAACTTAAAGTTTTATAATAATTCGTCAGATTTCAAAAAGTTGTCATCAAAATTTTAAACTTTTAATTGGAATTTCTAGATCAGTGGGGCGAATCGCGTGTTGCCGTGTGTGGCGATTTTTGGTGAATTTGTATTCAATTTTATACATGTTGCGTCCCGTATAATAAAAAAAAATACTTTTAACTAATTTATTCTCCTGATATGAACTATTTAAATATTAAAGCATTGCGCATTTTGCGGCAGTTTTATGCGCATTTTAGCATTCATAACAAACTTTTCAGGTCAGTAAGTTTGTTATAAGCATAAAAATGTCTGGTAAAATAGTTGAAATTGGAATTGTCTGCATTCACCGCGTAAACAGACAAAAAGTTGTATCGGAAAGGTAGATTTTCGGAAATAAAAACTGCTTTCGAAATCCACTTTCTTTTGAGTATACAGTTTTTTAGCCCATTCATTTCTAGTTCAAGTTTCAAGTGGCCAAAAATTAACCCTTGTTTTCAAGTCGTATCGAAGATTGCATGGCATTGCATAAAATTTCAACTAGACTTGTGTATTAAAACGGAAAAACTTGGCAGCACTCGATAGTTTACGACAATTTTCGTCGTCTACTTACGCAATGAGGCTACATATTTTTGTAATTTTATAAATAAAGGAAAAATAAATGGTCAAAACGTATAAAGAAGTAACGTCCCTAATTATGTTGCCACCACTGTATGTACATACATTCGATTTCATATTCTATTAAACAAAAGGACAGTTCCAGGAGACCTTCTATTTGCAAGTGTCATTCAATTTTCGTTTCCAATACAACGAAAGCCAAATAAAAGAAAACATCGCAGTAGCCACCGCAGCACATGGCTGATACAAAGTTAAATTTGAACTGTATCATTAGTGCTTCATGTAAATTTTCCACTTCTAAGGGAAGCTCCATCCGAAGGCCTTGAAATTCTGGCCATTACATGCGAAACAAAAAGGAGTGAAGAATCGAGCACGGAAGTCTCGCTGCAAAAGATCAGAAATAAGGGCACATAAAAGGTCTTTGTTTTTTTTTTTTTTTTTTTTTTTAAGAACTGGAATGCATCCTGCGTGTGAATATATTCCATACCGGAGAGAAAAAATTATGCAATAAAATAGGGCAAAACTGCTTCTTCAGGAAAATATTATTCTCCTCTTAATCGTATTAATAAAACCACTGAACTTATCATTTACTTTTCGTTTCATAATTTAAAATTTTTACCTCACTAACTGAACAGACTTCACAGGGCTGCATGGGAAATCTGAAAGTGATTAATTGAGTTATTGTTAGACAGATACATAGAGCTTAGTTAAGAGCTAAATTTCTAAATATTTTTAATTGCGCAATCAAAAGCGAATGTCAAAATATAGGCAAACCCCGTGGTAGAAAAAAGAAGGTAGTTTCACTTAGTGACATTAGCAGCCATGCAGCCATTTGACTTTTGCTGAGCTTATGACATTTTCATCAAAATCAAGCTACCAGATTGAAAATTATAATACAACTTTTTCGGAAAAGAATTTTGTCGACAAAGAAAAAAATAATTTTTTTTTTAAATAATAAAAATAAAAATGAGTGGCGCATTTGAAAGCTGCAAAAATACAAAATACCACGGCAAGGAAGACGGTACAAAATTGTTTAAATTTAGAGGGCTTCCTTTTGTGAGACAGTACCAGTAAAGTTTTCAAAGCGGTCTACGAGAAACAAAAATTTGGGAACCCCTGCGTTAGATCAACACAGAATAGTCAATTCTGAACAGTACACTAGCATTACCAGAAGTGTTCGAAAAATGTATTACAATCAAATAAAATAAAAATACCTTTTTAGTATCGACGGTACTTAGACAATAAAACATCTGAATAAAAGATGCAAACAAGTAATTTTTAGCAAAAAAAAAACGACTTCAACTCTCTTATAAAAAAAAAATATATATATATATATATATATATCTCATGATCCACTGATCGGATCTTAACCAGATTAGTATGGGACCACCTCTGAGACACTACCTTTCCAATGCAAAAAGAATTATCGGTGGACGTGGTCCAAAGTTATGCGGTAACATACATAAAAAAAAATAAAAAATATTCCGACGAACTGATAACCTCCTCCTTTTTTGGAAGTCGGTTAAAAAAAAGAAGAATTAAGATCCAGAAAAATACATCGTAGACAATATTTCCTGTACACGCTCTAATTTTTTTTCTAAAGAAAACGGAATTGTCTTAAGTATTTAGTTGGAAGTCGTCTATAAATGCAATTTTTTTGAAGTTTGATTAATTTTTGTGAACTTTGTGCAAAGCTTGAAACTTTTTTTTACGTGGTTTCTGTTGCAGATCGAACTATATTTTAAATGAAAATTATAAATAAATAAACATAAGCCGCAAATAACAACACTATTTTATTGGTCGCTGCTGTAGGTACTAAGTAAATTTCCACATATTTCAGTCCAAGGCCTCTGAATAATACACACACACTTCATTTCACCACAAAGCTTGAACGCTTTCAAGGATTAAACTATCAGTAGTGAATAGCTTTCAATAACAATATTTATGAGTTCGAAACATTGACAAAATTATGTACATATGTATGTATGTATGTATGCCTATTTAAGTTCTATATGTATATGTATGTATATGGATTGTACAATGTATGAATGAACGAATGAGCCAATTAATCAAAATTAAATGCCAAATAAAATGTTTTCTACTCACTTGTTAACTCGGTGGCTTCATCCCCGAATGACAGAAATTTATTCATATCTTGTTGCTGCTGAGACTGTATCTGTGTCTGCGTCTGCGTCTGCGACTGTGGTTGGAGCTGTTGTTGTTGCTGCTGCTGTTGGCCTCCGCTGGGGATTGCCGCTGCCAGCGTAGTTGGTGTTATATTGGAATTGCTTTTACCAATGTGTTGTTGCTGTTTATTACACAATTGGGAAATAGGCGTAAATACGGAAGCGGTCACCGATTGGGCGCGTGGCGCGGCGTTCAATGGTGGCAACGGAGCGCTTGCTGCACTCACAAACACCGCCGATGTACTGGTGATCGATGGCACCGGCGGCGGTGGTGACGACGTCGGCTGCGTGGCGTTCAAATCGGCCAGTGTGGCCGGACGAAATACCGATGCGGTGACCGACTTGGGCCGTTTCTCTTCGAGTAATTTTGGTGCGTGCAAGTTTTTATTGCTCGCAGTTTGTAGATCGTTGTCGATCAAACAATTCGATTGTAGATTGCGCCGCAATGACGAAAGTGAATTTGTGCAATCAAACGGTTTAGATGGTGTGGCTGAGGTGGCTGAGGTGGTGGTGAATGAGGTAGTATTCGGTTGTGCGACAATTGCTGACGATTGTTCGCGTTTGATTGTGGCACACGAGTTGTTATTGGTACTGTTGTGGGAGTTGTTGGTATGATCTTCTTTTAGATCGATGTCGGTGGTTTGGATCAATTGTAGTGTTGGTGGTGAGTTGGGTGCTGCTTTTATCGAATGCAATTCGATTTTGCTAGTTTTATTTTGTAGTTTTTGAGTTTCTTCTTGCTGTTGCTGTTGCAGTTCTTGTTCGAGTTTTGTTGGTTTAGTACATTCTTTCAATTTGCACTTGTCGTCGTCAGTTGAGTTGATATTGATGATATTGTTGTTATAGCTGATATTCTCGTTGATGTTGTTGTTGCAACAGCGATCGCTAACGTCACTTTGATCGCTTTTGCCGTCGCTTTCCCCAACTTTAAGCTTGCTTGCCTCGTATTGTGCAATTGAATAAATCTCATTGTCGTTCTCAAGATTGCTGCAAAAATTTACACATAACGCGCTATTTACATTATGCGCTTTTGGTAAGAGTATCGGCGATTTTCTCGTACAATAGACACACACGCAAACACAACAAGGGAAGTATGGAAAACGTACGGTTGGAGACGTCGCGTTTTCGATTATTGGCGATTAGAGAACACTTCACGTTGGCACTATTTGTATATATATATATATGTACACAAGTATTTATTTATTATTTTTATTATTATTATTAGGATTATTGATATTATTAGGTTTATTATTATTATTATTATATTTTATTATGTTATATTATAATCTTCACATATCGTTTCATCCCCGTAGGCCTATCACTCTAACCATAGCAGGCTACATTGCGTACCAGAGGAAATTTACTTTTCGGGTGACCTAATATCTGAATGTCGTAATCGAAAAAGTCGCAACCCTAAGTGTGTTTAAAAAGATTTTACGACTTTAAAACTCTGAACTTATTAAAAAATGTATATGGCTTCGCGGATTAAACAATTTTTATCCAAGGGATTTCTTATTTTGCAGACATAAAGAAGAACACGTTTACCTTTTTCAGAAATAATAAAAACGCAATGAAAATAGGAGAATTTTTAGAAAAAAATCTGCGTGGATTTTTTTCACATCGGCAGAGTTTCTGGCGGTGGCGGTCAAATGCTTGCAAAAAGTCGACCTGGTACCTCCACCTAGTGGGGAAAGTAGTAAATTTTAAAGTGGTCCTTACAAAAACAAATTACATTTCTTTCAATTCGGTTAAGAAATGTATGTAGCTACAAAATGCTCTAGACTAAATCACCTACATTTATTTGCTTTTTTCTATGTACAATTGTGAAAAGATAGAAATTACTTCTCAGAGATGAAACCAAGAGATGAACTGCGACCGAAATGTCAACTCTTAACCCTATACTACTCAAAATTTAAATTTTTTAATCGCAGCGGAGTATTTCTATTTAAAAAGCCGAGTATTTCTATTTTCGCGTTTGTTCCCAGATGAAGGATTTACCATACCGAATATGAAGGGAAAATCTCACACTCATATAAGTACATTGATACACCACATTTCAAATGGTGGTCTGATAAAACCTAAACCAGAAATCCTTGTTGACATAAAGAATTTTTAATAAATTGAATGGAAAGGAAATTTCGAATTGCAAAAATTTAATAGCTAAATTATTGAAGTTAAGTTGTGATGTAAATTTAGAAGAATCAAATTTTTTTTATGTCTAATGTTCTTTTGAATAAAGTATTTGAATAAAAAAAATTTATGATCAGAAACCTTGGGCTTGTTAAAGCAAGAAAATTGCCAACGCGGTTTTATAAATGAGTGTGTTGCATTTGGTGTGTAATTTTGTGTAAGTACGCATTTCCACATTTGCATTAAAACGAAAATGCTACAACTCAAATGAAGCTGATTCTAATGAAATTTTAAATATTTCCATATTTACAAAAACTTTAAATTCAAAGATATTAAGTGTTATACTATGTCTCCATTGAGAGATTTATCCATTAAGATTTAATAAATCCAGTTGCTAAATCACAACCGTTTCCATTACCATTACGAGATATGTTTGACGTTCACATTTTTAAATATTTGACGTTTGCTTATGTATGATTTTACAAATACAGTTGCGGACATTGATATACAGACAGGTACCAAGCGGAATTTCATTATATGAATTCTGAATATTATTGGCTTCTTATTCGTGGTAAATATGTATGTATAATATATAGTTTGGAAAGTGTAAAGAATGGTACCATATTCCGAATCATTTTCCCGAATTTAAGAAAAATTATCAAAACGGTAAAAAACATTTGCGGAAAGAAAAATTTTTGTAGAACTCTCTTATTCATAGGAGGGAACCGAAAATCCAATCGTGGGCCTTTGGCATATCATGAATACGAACTGAGTTCTAGAGGATGTTCGGTGCAATGTTATCGAAGCAGAACCATTACCGAAATTTATAAATTTTTTGTCGCAGCGCGTAAATAACTTATAGAAAGCCGAGAAGACTCTGCATGATATTACTATAAAACATTTCTTCTAAATTTTTAGTTTTAAAAATAACATTTTCTTAATTTATTACAACCAAAGTTATGTAAATATGTATTACTAATTTTCCTCCCAAACTAACAAAAATATAAAATTACCTAAAAATACGAGAATTCATGTTTTTATGATAGGCTAGATTTCAATGTCCTCAACTGTATATTGAAAACACAAATGTCATTTGACTTATGGCATGTGAATTTGTGGTTGCCACATCCAACAAATTGTAGTTATTGATCAATATTATTGAAGATTTGACGAAAATTTAAGTTAAATCTACTACCTTTCGAGATTTAATTTTATATGATAAATCTCAAAAGATTTAACGTCAAATCTCGTCAGAGGGCTAAATCTTCATTAAATCTCACAATGGAGACATAGTATTATCAAATATGGTAAAGGCATAAGAAAAGGTTAATTTCTTTGTTTACTTCTTTTTGGTTGTTTGTTTACATTTTTTGATATTACAGTGAGCTATGAGAGAGCTCGACTGATATGTCACTTCTACCTTGTTTAATATGCCTTGAATAAAATAAAGTGTATGTATGTATGTACATTAGACTGCATCACTCCACATACAAAGAAAAAATCAGTACTATTTTTCCATTCGAATTATAAAATCTATTATATTTTAAGACGTCCGAAGATTTAAGTGGAGTTTAAATGGAGTTTTTCATGAATAAAAATAGTTTCTTAAAGATTTTTTTTTTTTAAATCCCCTCAAATGACAAAACGGTTTAAGCTTAAAAAATTTTCATGAAAATATTTTTTAAAAATTTAAAAAAAAATTAAAATTTCAAATATTGGTATATGAAAAACTTGAATAACTGAACCTAAGCTCTTCCGATTTAGACTTAAGAGGTGTCAATGGAAAGATATTTTCTCACCCTTTTTATTTCTTTGATAATAAACTCATTAAAAGGATGAAAGAGAAAGGTAGGATGAACGAAGTTGAAATAAGATGTATTTGAAAAAAAAAAAATGGGACACGAATGACTTTTTTGTTTGGACAGATATAAAAACAGTGTTAAAATACCTTTCTAACCAGATCCCAAAAGTCTAAATAAGAATAGTTTTGGCCCAGTTATTCAAGTTTTTTATAAATCAATCTTTGAAAATAGTAAAAAAAAAACCTCAAAAATCTCATTCTTACGATTCCGTTGAAAATATTTTTAAATATTTTTATGCAGATTTTTTAAGCTTAATCTGTTTTGTCATCTGAGGGGACTTTTTTCAAAAATATTTTGGCGGACGTCTTAAAATATTATAAATTTTGTAATCCTGGCAGAAAACTGCAACTTTTTTTGGTGATGCAGTCTAATGTACATATGTATCTCAAAAAAAAATTTCTCACAACATTTGAAACAAAATGACGTAGAAATAGGAAAGGTAGAAGGGACGACTAGCTAACTATAACGTCAAAAAACTGTAAACAAAATAAATAACCCTTTGAGGTGCGAGAGCTACCTCTACTACAAATTAGCATCAATTGAAATGCATCTGTGTAAATAGATACAAATGTATAAATTAATTGCAAATGATTTTAAGTGCATTCGAAAAAACTGTCAGTTATAAGTTTTCAACGTTTGATCACGATGTCAGTTACGAGTTGTCAGTGTTTGACCTTCGCTATGTATTTATAGATACATATATGAATGTTGTTGAGAGACAAAAAAAAACACAATTCAAAACTTGCTCAAGCCACGCAATTGAATTTTTAATGAAAAATAAAAAAAGGTTAAAATTTGGTCACCATGTGACATTATAGTCCTGCTCAAAAGAGAGAATGCTGGAATCACTTCTGCCTTGTTGGATATGCCTTGGAAAATACTAAAAACCTGGCGTATGTTTGAGATCTTGTCAAAGATATACTCCATTTTACTTTACCTGAACTCATTATTTCCTTAGTCACTCCTCTTTTTAAATTATCATCTAGAGTTGCTTGACAAATGCTAACCCATGCGAAAATTGTTTTTTTTTTTTACAAATAAGCTGAGAATTTTAAAGTGTTAGACAGTTTTCTAAATTACACTATAGAACACAAATAAAAATAACAAAACATAACCAAAAAACCTGTAACGGCATTTTTTTAAAGTTTACGTCTGGCAGATTCAAAATAAAGATCAAAATCATTTTTTTTTTCTCGGATCCACTTAGTTATTGTGTATATACTTTACTTGATAAAAAAAGCANGTTTACGTCTGGCAGATTCAAAATAAAGATCAAAATCATTTTTTTTTTTCTCGGATCCACTTAGTTATTGTGTATATACTTTACTTGATAAAAAAAGCATCTAAGTTTAAGTAAATAAATGTAATGGCTTTCTGATATACTTTTTTTGCGCGGACAAGTACCGGAAGTTTATCAGAATGTGGCACTGGAAGCAACGCTGAATTTCAGAGTAACTCTTTTGCCTAAAGTATGGTTCACTGCAAATCGGTACGCGTTCCAGCAATTCCTGTACAGCAATTGTTGGAATCCAAAACCTTCCGAAAATCAATAAATGCATTCCCTCTGCTTAAATTAACAGAGTAAGCCGTTGATAAAACCATTGAGAGGCAGTCTGACGTTTGCCAGAAATATAATTGAAAAATTCAAAACTCAAACCATTAACCATTTTTTAATACTAACGATTTTTATTGGTCGCCCCATTGCATTTTTCGGGGTATTTGTGGGTTTTTAATTATAAATTATAGTTGTGATGAAAGAATGGTTAAATAAACAATTGGGTATTATAATTGGGAATCTGCTGCAGATGAACACAGAGTTTTCTGGTAGAAAAATATTGTTTTTTAACTATGCTGTACCATTTCTACGAAAAGTTGTTTTTTTTTCCCCCATATTAAATACATGGAAAACTTTGGCGTTTCGAGCGACCTCTAAACATTTTTTGATTTAAAAAAAAAAATAAAGGTATATTTTTTCGGTATAGAAGAATCCTAGCGGGTGAGAGCATAAAAAATCCGATATTACTTTTTCGCATGCATTTTCGGACCACCCTAATGTACATATGTATGTAAATTTAAAAAAATCCATTTCATTTTTTTCGATTTTGTTACAGCGTGTTATTAAAACTTCTAACACATTCTACCTGTGA